CCGCGCCGCACACCCCATCGCGCCCTGCCCGGTGGAACCTCGCACCCCGCAGCGCGGGCCGAAAACTCCAAATGCTCTTATTGTGCGTGCCGCAGCCCGTATCGCGACTCGCCCGGTGGAAGCCCCGCCTCGCCAACACCCTGGCGGACCCGTTGGACGCCGAAGTTCCAAACGCTCTTATTTCCCGCGCCACACCCCGTATCGTGGCCACGCGGCTGGAAAATCTAAAGCAGAACTCAACCCCCGAGGTGTTTTTGGGAACAACTCGGGCGGGATATCTGCAGCTGCTTGTTTACGCAAGAACATGCAAGGTTTAGTGTTTAGTGACCTCTTCTTTAACTTTACGCATGCAGTGATTCCAGTCAGGATTGCGCGAATGGCAACTCGAAGTACGTGCCGGTGGATATGCCGGGCCAAGGTGGCATTGCAGGGCGAGTTCCGTCAAGAGTGCAAGGATTTAGAGGGTTTGCATGCCCTGGACGGGTTGAGCTTTGCCGGGAACTAATGAAATTAAAAGAAATAATAAGAATAGTGTACATTTTGGAATAAGAATATACGAGAAAGTTACCCGAAGATTGTCAGAGTCCCATGTGCCACGGTTCCCCCTGTCACTGACGCATCCTCTGATCGCCCAACCGACACCTTAAGGCTCTGAGACTGTAGCTGTTACATGCTGTTACCAGCATTATTCGCTGGCGTTCCTTATAATATTTAAGTATTCTATCAAGGAGCCCCAACAACAAAAAACCCATTCCAATTTTTAGGGGCCCCTACACCTCCCAATCAGCTCCCAAACCCTTCAAGGCTTAGAGCCGTGTAAACCTCCGCACCCAAGTTGTGCATCAACTTTGAAAGCCACCTCGACACCCGACATGCTGAAGAGATCTGAGTGTGTTTCGGTTTTGTGGAGATGTCATGTACTCACCTTTGAACTTACTCTCTCTGCAGTCTGTTATAGGAATTAACATGCCTTTGCACTCCACAGGATTGCACTACCTCTCTACTGGGACCCGACGATTCAAGCTGTTTGTCCCGTTCGGTCCCAACTTTTGCATTCCCGGCCATGCATCCTGAGCCCAAACCATACACAACCACTCAGCATTCTGAGCTCCCTCGTCAACTACCGGTGTGGATTCTGTTTGCAAAGGTGGAGTTCGTGGCGTAGCTCGTTGGGAAGACTGCCAGCACAGAGCCGCGGCTCAAGTTTCAATGCCAGGCAGCATTCTCGTCGCGAAAGCAAAGGCTCTTGCCTCCTTGCCAGTGCTTGCCTACATTCCAGAAGCATGCTGCAGTTTCACAACCATCACCTATGCAGTCTTACTTCGCTTGCAAGTCCCACAGCACCCGACCATTTCGGAGAAACGGAACGAAGAAACACAGGGTGGACTGTCAAAGAGCGCTGCGACGGCCCGTGCTTGAAAATATATTCTACAAAAGCTTCCTGAATCCTACACGTGCTAGCAGCAATGCTATCCACAACCAACGCACCGGAGACAATACTCAGGAAGACTGTACAGGCAGCTAATAACTTCAATAATCTCAAACCCTTCCGGCATGCACCTGAGGATGTGCAGGAGTGACCGGCTGTCGGCATTTCAGCTTCTGGCCGACCCTTGGACAAACACTGAAAGCTTCTGCTGGCAAAATCCCTGCGGGCTTCGGGGTCAAGGTTCGTGCTCGAGTCATGGGAGGTTTCATTGAGGTGCCTAGAACCATCGAAAGCAAATTTCAAATGACCTTATTTGCACGATCTGTTTGGAGATGACGATGCCCATCCATTTGCCTTGTAAGCTGTCTACGGCCATTTGCCTTGAGATTACCCGTAGCAACTTGCCAGATTCACATGGGGAGTGGCATCTGCACAGCCTTTGCGACATGAGCCCAGCAGTTAAAATGAGCATGTGCAGCCCGATCAGATTCTTGAGCACGTGTGATCTGTGATCAGAGATTTTTGCGGTCCACCGGCTCAGGGTGTAGGGCTGAGCACGGACGAGATCGGCCGGCACTCCCTCACAGATGAAGCCCGGCCCCCGTTGACCCAAGAAGCCATCGGAGCCCTGGGTCAGGCATAGACCATCGGACTGTAGCGGTTTTGGGTTTAGGGTTTAGGGTTTAAGGGTTTAGGGTTTAGGGTTCGGGGAGGCTTGGGAGCCTTGTCTTCGCTTGCAAACGAACTGAGTCCCCCAGACTCGCCTCCACCATAGCAGTTGAGAGATCGGCAAGCAACCGTTCCGCCAACTTCAGGCTTCGAATTCCCTGTTCTAGGAAATCCCTCAAGCTCCTTCCGAAGAACTGAGGGATGGCGGCTGCCACTTTCAGGACGGCTACCTGGCCTGCGAACCACAACATCGATCTCATGAGTATTTTGTGTGTGTGTGTGTGTGTGTGTGTGTTTTTGCAAGATACCCTCAACAAGTGCCACCAGCAACAAGAAGCGCCTTTGACGGGCCACCGCCACCACCACCACCCTGCAAGAGCAGTACTTTCGAAGCAGCGATCTGGAACAGAGGGCCCGCTGTCAGGAAGCCCTTCTTGCCAGCCAAGAAAACTCCCCTAAGAGTGCCTCAAATTGCCCTAAACTGTACCTTAAGCTACCATAACCTACTTTTTTGTAGGTTCTTATTTTAAACCCTAGTCTGGAGTTTATAGGAACCCTAAAAAAAATTAGGTTTCGGTAGTTCATGGTAAGCACCAAGCCCTCAACTCAAAGCATTTTGGTGCCCAGGCTCTGCGTATTTGACACCGGATCCCGGCGTCGTGTCGGGCCCGCCTATCTGTAAGGCTCGGTGGGCTTGTGTTTGTCGCTTTGTGTTGGCACAAGGCCGGAGCCTTTGGGTGTGTTTTTTATTTTTCAAGGTTGTGTTTGGGAGGTTTCCGCAGCATGCTGCCACGCAATTCCTGTGTCAGCTTCGAGTTTACCTCGCAAGCCTCAGATCTGGTGTGTAAGCTGCTGAGCACAAGTCCTAAATCTTTTGATGGCCCCAAGCTCAGCTTCGGACAAGGTCAGGAATCAAGAAGAAGAGGCAAGTTCGCAAGTAAAGGGACTTCCATTGGAAAGTCACACAGTTCCCTGTAAACGAGTGTCACCGACGAATCCAGTAGCTGACAAGTGGTCGAGTGGCCGTTCCATCTTCGCGAGGCGGCCAGCGGGTCGGTGTGGGACCGTGAGCCCAAAGCGACGGACCAGACTCTTATTTCTGGTCACAGGGTTCTGCGTGACTTTGTGGGTCATATAGGAATATAGGACCATAGGACTGTGGATTGATGAGGTAGGTGGCATGCACGACATCGTGAAACTCACACTTCATGTAGCAATTTAGAAGATGGTGGTTTGCAAGGCACTCAGCAGGTCCAAGCCTTTTCCAGCAAGCATACTTGAATTGGCTTCTGGAGCTCGTTGGTAGGTTAGGAGACATCAGGGCGCTGTTGGAACGGCACTCAACCCCCCAATCAGAACGCATCGCCCAGTGACGAACCACAACGAGGCTATTTACTAAGCTCTTGCCCGTGCACCGTCTCGTTGTGCCTTTGGCATGTTGGTCCCGAAGGGCTGCAAGCTTCAAGAACTATCGGCCTCAGCTTGGGAAATGCGAAGCCCACAAGCCAAATCCAAGACATACGGAATTGAACGGAACTCGAAAACTGCCAAGGAGGGTTCTCTTTGGCGATCGCTTCGTCCAGATTGGTGCCTTCCGGCTGGGTGCTGTGGATGGGGCGCACTTCTCCATTTCCCACAGGAACGGAGCCACCATGGTCATCTATCGATCCGCTTATGCAACGGATCCCCATCCAGTACACCCTGGGGTTCGCTGGGACTGGGGCTTGTGGGGGAAGGGGCACTCTTCTAAGAATCCCGCGCTCTCACCCATGGGAATCACCTTCGGCGACCGCTTCGTGCAGATCGGAAACTTCCGGCTTGGACAAGTGGACAAAGATCATTTTTCCGTGGCGCACGCCGGGACCGGCAAGACCCTTCAGGTCTTCCGCAGCAATGGCCATCACTTCGGTGGCCCCCGTGACGATTACACGACGCTGGGCCGGTCTTTGGAGCAGTGCAAGGCGGGTGCGCGGGAGGGAAGTGTTTGTGGGCAGTCGCACAGAGTCGCGTTTCTTTGAGTGTGGCTCGGTTCAGGAGATGGAGCCGTGACAAGGACACACAAATGGTGCAGCGATCGGCGGAAGCTAGGACAGATCTCACGATGAGTTGATGTTTCTGCCGGTAGAATGCCACACCAACACGGTGTGCTGAGCTGTGCCAGCGACAGGACGGCCCAGTTCGGAAAAAAGTTGACTTCGGAGTTCAAGGTTCCTCCGCGAACGCAGTTGCAAGAGGGTCTGCAAGAAGTTCCGCTAAGGCAGAGCCATGAGAAGTGCTCCAGCTTGGACAGTATGAAATCACAAGGCAACATGCATGAGTGACCCGCCCGTGATCAAAGGTGCTGTTTTGACGGTGGCCGTACCACGCGAAAGCAATGCCCGAAGTGACACTCAGTATTTCACGGTAGGCATTGTCCTGGGGCAGAGAAGGAACTCGCTCAAGCTCATGGGTCGGTTTGGCATGGTCAATGCCGGAAGCAAAGCAGCAGGACCCCTTGAACCCAAAGCCACAAGTCCGACACTGCCACACATCTTAGGAGGTTTTGTACGAAACCCTGACATCTACTCTCAGACAATCCTTCCTCGCTCATTGCAGATATGTGCCAAGCCATGCTCACCTGCTACTTGGGCTGCACTCACGCCTTCTTGCTGCTTTACTGCATGTGGACAGATTTCGATTCAGCTGTGCTAAGGCTTCCAGCTGCAACATTGAATGGAGTGAGTCTTTTTGCCGGGCACCAGCTGACTTACCCAAGTACTCGCCCCTGAAAGCATCAGGCAACCCGTGTTCCCACTGCGCTTGATCTGGAATCATGCCTGGCCGCTCGTGTGAACTAACCCGAGAAGCCATCGTTTCTGAGTTTCAAAAGCGTTTGGCTGCAGCTTTAGGTCGGAAGTCTGGAAAGCGCTGCCTTACGGTCCATTCTCATCCCAGTTTCAGACAGCCATAAGAGAACATCTGCCGGCTGTAAACTCCAACCCGAAGCACTCAAACCGACTCAAAGCCTAAGCCCCAAACTTGAAACCCTGAACCCGAACGGAGGCCAGAATCCTTAAAATCCGAGCCCCTGAAGCTTAAAACCCTAAACCGAACGGCTAAGACACCAAAGCAGTAAACTCGACAATTCCAAGTTGCTAAATCTGACGCCCGTGAACGCTCCAAGGCTTAGCGAGACTTGCTTTCCCCTTGTAGGAAGCCCAGCAGCGTAAACTTGAGGTCCTAGCTGAACCCTAAGACTTTCAACCTCTTAAGCCGCAAATCCTACACACCAAACCCGACACCCGAGTTCTCCCGATTTGCGACCTCTTCGAAGCAGGGGAGACGTGTTCAGACGACTGCGCCAGGGGGTCCTGGTCTCAGGTGGTTGTGCCGATGTTTTCAGGCTTTGGATTCGGGTTCGGGTGAGGGTTGAGGAGTGGCTTAGAGAGGGTTCAAGACACGTTACAAAGATTCCGCTTGTGGTGCCTCTTCGTCATCTACATCTCTGCTCGCTTGAAAGCAAGTGCGCATGGGCACCTGGCATACACAAGTGTTGAGCATCCCAGCAGACTGCAAGCCCTTCGCAGCATAAGCCAAGAGCCAAGACAAAAGACATCTGAACGGGTTGAAGGTTCTGCATACATCCTTGCCGAGATTTCACAAAACCCTGAACACAGCACCTGCAGCAGCTTGCCTAAATTTACAATTGTCACAGGTTGATGTTACGGTGCACACCTAGGATGGGATCCCAAAATCGCTGAAGCTGTCGTGCCGGCGAGTCTACAGACATGTCAGAAAGTTTCGAGAAGCTTGTTCACCCAGCACGCCTTGCATCCAAGGCGATGAAACCTTGAGCTCAACTGTCCCAGCTGCAAACGTGAGGAGTGTTTGACTCTGGCGGAGTGTCGAGCTTTTGCACGCTTCGCCGTCAAGGTGCGAGCAGCGCAGCGCTTAGATTCCTTGCAGCACTCTCAAGATCGCTGAATGAACTGCCCTCTGTTCCAAATTTGCCCGGGAGGCTTAACCCCTCTACACCCTAATCCGGACTTTGAAGCCTAGACATAGCCAAACCGCGAGAAGCCAAAAGCGACACACTGGAATCGTGTGTGGAGTGGATTTCTCGTGACCTCTTAGCAGTGCCCCTTGAGAAGTGGTGTTGCTTTTGAGACGATTCTCGAAGCCCAAGCAGCTGCTTCCGATTCTGTGCTTCCAAGATCTTGCAGCATCCGGTGCTCCTACGATCTTGAACTTGAGATAGATCCAGTCTCAGATTTGCCCAAGCGGTGTGAGGCCCATCTGGGTGGCTTCGAGGCAAGCACTTTGAAGTTCATTCTGAATGTTTCCAGCTACGAGCTTGCAGAAGCCTGCAGTCATCATTGTGTGCATCACATTAGCAGAGTGCGGAACATGTTCAGCTTCTGGGCCGGGTGTGTAGTTTTCTTTGATGCATCGGCCAGGTGTGCGCAGGCTTGTGCCGGCTTTTGGCTTGGGATTCTGCTTGTATATATACATATATATGTACATAGGACCTTTATGTCTTATTTGACGCATGCCTTGGACCATAAAACCGGAACGTTCAAAAAAAATCAATGTTTTCAAATTTTGAAAAAGCCCAAAAAAATTGAAAAATCCTTAAAATTTTGAAAAATCCAAGTTTTTTCAAAAGTTTAAGGGTTTTCAAATTTTGAAAAAGCTTTAAAACATTGAAAATCCTTAAAATGTTGAAAACCCACCGAAATTAATTAATTCCCGAGAGTTGGGATCTTTTAAAATTTGAAAAATCCTTAAAATATTGAAAAATCTTTAAAATTTGGAAAAAATCTGGTTTTTCAGGGTTTCAAAATTTTAAGGGCTTTTCAAATTTGAAAAAGCTTTAAATTCTTGAAAAATCCTTAAAATTTTGAAAACCCAACTGTTTTTCAAAATTTTAAGGATTTTCAAATTTTGAAAAAGCTTTAAAATTTTGAAACATCCTTAAAAGTTTGAAAAATCCACCGAAATTAATTAATTCCGAGAGTTGGGATCTTTTAAACTTTGGGAAATCCTTAAAATTTTAAAAAATCCTTGAAATTTTGAAAAGCAGTGGATTTTTCAAAATTTTAAGGATTTTTCAAAATTTTAAAGCTTCTTCAAAATTTGAAAATCCTTAAAATTTTGAAAAACAGTAGATTTTTCAAAATTTTAAGGATTTTTCAAAATTTTAAGGATTTTTCAAATTTTAAAAGATCACAACTCTCTTAATTAATTAGTTTCGGTGGGTTTGTCAGAATTTTAAAGATTTTTCAGAATTTTACAAGCAACCGCGAGTCATCACCGCGACATGTGCCAAGACAACAGCCTTACCACAAGCACTCGCGAGCCATCACTGCGGCATTGGCCAAGACAAAAACCTTACCGCAAGCACTCGCGAGCCATCACCGCGGCATTAGCCAAGACAAAAACATTACCACAAGCATTCGTGAGCCATCACCGCGGCATTTGCCAAGACAAAAACCTTTCCACAAGCAACCGCGAGTCATCACCGTGACATGTGCCAAGACAAAAGCCTTACCACAAGCACTCGTCAGCCATCACCGCGACATTGGCCAAGACAAAAACCTTACCACAACCACCCACGAGCCATCACCGCGGCTTTTGACTAGACTAAAATCTTACCGCAAGCACCCGCGAGCTATCACCGCGGCATTTGCCAAGACAACAACCGTACCACAAGCACTCGCGGGCCATCACCGCGGCATTTGCCAAGACAAAAACCTTACCACAAGCACTCGTGGCCAAGACTAGGCCAGAAAGAGCAACCAAGACCAAAGCAAGACTCGGCAGTACGATTTGTTAGCGGCAAAAGTGGTCCAGAATGAGCCACCAAGACCCGGCAGCACGATCTGTTACGGGCAAGAGTGGGCCAGGAAGATCCACCAAGACCCGGCAGTACGATTTGTTACGGCCAAGTTTGCCACAGAATACAAGCCGGATGTTGGTCGCACCTTCGGTTCCGACCGGCAGCATCTGTGCCCAACATTCACATTTACATTCTAGTCGTGTTTGAGACGTTGGCTGTTGCTGGCATTGGCAAAGGGACCTTTCATCGAATAACATGGCAGAGAGGTGGCGTTTACTTCATAGGTTTCCCATGAGGATTCCCAAAAGACTCCTTTATCTTACAAGAGTGAATAAACGGTCTATGGGAGATTACCCACCATACCACTACTGATCTGCGCGTGGCTGTGATCTCGTGCGTGTTACAGTGGTTACGGTGACTTGCACGATCAGAAGATGATGTAGTATGTAAAGAATTGGATGCGTTTCGCATGGAGTTTTCGCCGGCACAGAAAGTACGCATGCGCCAGTCTGTAACATGTCCCCGACTCTGTTTCTTCGATCTTATTCTGAAACTGCGGCATTGCAGGAGAGCCAGGGATATTTGGGGTAAACGACATGTACTACTACTGCTGCTACGACTACTACTGCTACTACTACTACTACTACTACTACTACTACTACTATACTGCCACCACTACTTTTAGCTCGCGTTGGTGCCGCCGAAGCCGAGCCGATCACCGACCAGGTTTACCCATATCCTTCGGACTTCTGCCCGGTTCTGTCTTCATTTTGGTGCTGTTGCATGTGAGGCCACTGGGTGCGCCTTCTGGTGAACTTGGCTCGGCACACAGCGAAGCAGATCTTGTTGGAAAAGACCGTCATGGCCACAGAGCTAACTATGTATTTTTGCAAGTTGCAACGATTAGTAGCTGAATGCGGGAGAATCGCGAGATCAAAGAATCTAGCTAAAAAACTGATCATTTATGTGGAGATTTTCGTGACTCAAAACGGGACTGCGTTGAGCCTGCTTTGAGTTGTGAAACGAATGCATATTCATATTTCTTTGGTGATATCAGTTCATGCATATACTTAAGTTCAAGGCTGATTCTAGGATCCCCGTGTGTTGAATCTTTATAATAATGAAGCTGTTTGTTTGTGCGTTATGAACTTGTAGGCGCACTGTGTTCGGTTCTGTGCGCATATGTAGGTATGTTGGTTATAGGCATACAGATATGTTTGTATGCTAGCTT